CTCTTTCCTTCTTACTCTGTGGCTGGCCATGTGGCTGGGTAGTTAGCCCCTAGTGTCCTCCTCTCCTTCTTTTCTCACTCCTCCCTCTTCTCTCTTCTTTTGAGCCTAGATTTCTGCTCTAATTTATTCTCTTTGCCTGGCAGCCCCACCTATTTCTGTCTCGTGCCTAGAAATCAGCTGTTTTGCTCTTTATGAATCAGACATTTTAGACAGGCAAAGTAACACAGCTTTACAGAGCTAAACAAATGCAACATAAAAACATGCAACATATTTTTGCATCATTAAACAAATATTCCACAGCATAAGCAAATATAATACATCTTAAAATAATATTTGACTGTTGGGATCAGAATGGCTCTGACCCCTCTAAGATTGCCCCCATCTCCCCTGTTCTGAGTGCACTGAGGTCAGGCTGTTCTGCAGATGTATTGCTGTTTCATGTATCTTGTGGTTTGGCAGCTGTGGCTTCCTGGGGCATGCTGACCATTCCTTGACCCTGGGTGCTTGATAAACAATTTTGTTTGTTTCCTCCTGAAAGGGTAATTAAGATGGGGAAGAAAGAATAAAGAGAGTCCTGATACTTGCAACTTGACTGGTGTGTGCTGTGTTCATCCTGACTTCCCTCGCCAGGTTTTGGGCCCAATTGCCGTGCAGGCACAGCATTCCACAACAGGGCTGGACAATGATACAATTCTATTTTAATTAAGCAAAGATAATGTATATGAAAAAAATGAAATTAGTGAAAAATAAAAATAAGATGAAAAAGAAGTAAGCATTCTTGTATGAAAAATTAAAGTTCTTTTTTTTTTTTTTTTTTTTTTTTGGTTTTTCGAGACAGGGTTTCTCTGTGTAGCTTTGGAGCCTCACCTGAAACTCATTCTGTAGCCCAAGGTGGCCTGGAACTCACAGAGATCCATCTGCCTCTGCCTCCTGAGTGCTGGGATTAAAGGCGTTAAAAAATGCCTGGCAAATAATCAAAGTTTTAAGCAAAAACTGTATTAATACAAACAAATATTAACACAAGGGAAAATTCATGACATCCATTGTGATTAAGAAAATTAGAGGTCTATTTGTTGTGGTTATAATGGTACCATTATTCTGGTCATTGTCCTATTTCATTTATTATAATCATTTTTTTACAATAGAACAATTAGTTATTTTTATTAACAATGGTTCTAGTATTTTGCATTCTATGTTATTACATTAAACTTGATTGTGCCAGGCAGTGGTGGTGCATGCCTTTAATCCCAGCACTCCGGAGGCAGAGGCAGGCCTCTGTGAGTTCAAGGAGCAGCGTGGGCTACAAAGTGAGTTCCAGGACAGGCTCCAAAACTACACAGAGAAACCCTGTCTCAAAAAACAAAACAAAAGAACCAAAAAAAAAAAAATCCAACTTGATTGTATGAATAGTCACTCATGTTAAAAAAAGAAAACCAGAAGGTAAGTCCAAACTCAGATATTGTGACTACTGCGCAATAAACCCTGTCAAAGGTGGGGTAGTGTTGGCACATATCTTTAATCCCTTCACTTGGAAGGCAGAGGCAGGCAAATCTCTATGATTTAGAGCCCAGATAAGTTTGCAGTGAATTGGAAAGAGCCAGAGTGAGTTCCAGGAAAGCCAGGGCTACATGAAATAAACTCTGTCTTAAAAAAAAAAAAAAAAAAAAAAAAAAAAAACAGAAAACAGAAAAAAAAAAGAAAACCCCAGCAAAATGTAAAACCCATACAGTAATACCAACAGCTAATAAAAAGTTTTAGAACCTTAATTTTTTAATTTAGTTTTCGTTTTTGTACTTTTTATTAAATATAGATTCTCCACAAGAAGTTGATACTTGTTCATTCTAGTTTTATAAAAATCAAGTTATAATTTTGATGGGTATTTCATTAAATCCCTAGAGTGGTTTTTGGTAAGATTGCCATTTTTACTGTGTTAATCCTGCCAACCCATGAGCATGGAAATACTTTCATCTTCTAATATCTTCTTCAGGTTCTTTCTTCAAAGACTTAAAAGATTTTTTATCATGGAAGTATTTCACTTGCTTGGTTACAGTTACCCCAAGACATATTATTTGACTCTATTGTGAAAGTTTTTTTTTCCCTGATTTCTTTCTCTATTTGTTTGTCATTTATATATAGGAGAGCTACTGATTTTTTTTGAGCTAATATATTATGCAGTCACTTGCTGAAAGTATTTATCAGCTGTAGGAGTTCCCTGATCAAATTTTAAGGATCACTTATGTATGCTATCATATCATCTGCAAGTAACAATACTTTAACTTCTTCCTTTCCAATTTTTATCCCCTTGATATCCTTCAGTTGCTTTATTGCTCTGGCTAAGACTTCAAGTACTATACTGAATAAATATGAAGAAGGTGGACAACTTTGTCTTAGTCCTGATTTTAATGGAATTGCTTTGAGTTTCTCTCCTGTTAACTTGATATCGGCCATAGGCTTTCTGTAAATTGCCTTTATCATGTCTACATATCTCCCTTGTATTATTTCTAATCTCTCTAGGATTTTTATCATGAAGTGGTGTTAGATATTGTCAAAAGGCTTATCTGATTCTAATGAGGTGGTCATGGATTTTTTTTCTTCTTTCATTTTGTTTATATGATAGATTAAATTTATTTACTTTTGTATATTGAACCATCTCTGCATCAGTGACATTTTAATGTATCCTTAGATTCGGTTTACAAGTATTTAGTATTTCTGCATTTATGTTCACAGGGGAAATTGGTCTGCAATTCTCTTTCTGTTTTGGGTCTTTATGTGGTTTGGGTATCAGGATAACTGTAGCCTAATAGAGTGAATTGGGCAATGTTCCTTCTCTTTCTATTTTGTGGGATAATCCTAGAAATACTGGCTTTATTTCTTTGAAAGTCTGTTACAAATATGCAGTAAAACAATGGCCTTGAGCATTTTAGGGGTAGGTACTTAATACTATGAACTTGCCCCTTATATCTACCTTTACTGTGTTCTATGAGTTTGGGTGTGTTGTAATTTAATTTTAATTCAATTCTAGAAAGTATTTAAATTATTTCTTAATTCCTGTCTTAGACCAATTTTTCATTCAGTAGTAAGTTTTTCAGTTTTCATGAATTTGTAAGCTTTTTAAATATTCCTGTGGTATTGATAATCATTTTTATAGTATTTTATTTTATAATTAACTTAATTTCACATATCAGCCACAAATTCCCCCGTCCTCCCTCCTCCCATCCCCCATCCCTTTCCCCAATCCACTACCCATTCCCACCTTAGGATAATCATTTTTAATCCATGGCAGTCAGACAGTATCCATGGTGCTATTTAAAACTTGTCCCTTTTGAGAATGGGTCCTGTTTTCACATCAATTCTATTAGTCTATGTCTTTTTATTGGGGAATCATGACTGTTGATGTTGAAAGATATCAATAAGATGTGTTTGTTGATTCCTGTTATTTTGTTCCTGTGGTGTGCGTGAGTGTGTGAGTGTGTGAGTGTGTGTGTGTGTGTGTGTGTGTGCGCGCGCGTGCGTGCACATGTATTTGTTCATATACACTCATCTATGTCTCTCAAATCTACTCTCCCTCTAAACCCACTCAAATTTTCATGTCCCCTCATTCAAATAAAAGCAAGATGAATTTCTGCTGCTTGTATATTCTTGGATATATGACCTTTACCAGAACATGGCCAATCTACCAGGCCCTGCAAACTTAATGAATAGCAAGTCTCTCTCTCCCGGAATATGGACATGTATCATTTTTTTTTCAAAATCATTTACCAAGCTAAGACAAGTGGATGGGCTTTTCAAGGAGTCTCATTTTCATCAGTAGTGCAATGAAAGTCTTTTGAAAAATATTTGTCCCAAAGTGAAGATTTCATGCTTTCAATCTAACAAAATGGATAAACTGTATTTATGACTTAAATAAGAGAAAAATGAAAGAGGTTTAAGTATAAGTACGAAGAAAAGTTTCAGAACATGAAGCTCAAAAAACATAAGCATTATGACTTGTTGAAATAAACTCGTGAGATCTTATGCAACAATAAACACTATTTTCTCACTGATTCAAGAACTAAGTAGGCAGTTACTGTTGTTCATTGATGATTTTTAAACCTAGGAAAAGTAAGTGATCAATGGCACAATTTAAAAATTCAAACTTCTGGGAAACTTTGTTATAAGGGAAGAGAGAATCAAATAGAATCTTTTAATACTCAGAGAACTGAAAGTAGGAGACATGATCATCCCCAGGAAAGAGAACTCCAATAAATCTTTTGACAAGTGCCAAATGCTGTCCCTGAAAACATACATATACATATACATTATACAAAATGAAAATATGTTTGGGAATATGTATGTATATACATGTCCATGTATGTGTGCAATGACAATTAATGGAAAACCAGGCCTTGAATTTGAAGCAGAGTGTGGAGTGGTGCATGGGAGAGTTTGGAGGTAGGAATGGAAATGGAAAATGGAGCTATAATCTCAATATTAAACACAACAAAATAAAATGAGAGATGTACATGGGTGATAGCTAGCATTTCAATATGTGCTTCCTTATAAGGAGTATTTTCATGAAACAAATCTATGTCATTAATTTACAACAAATCCAATACTAAGTATCTGTTTTATAGAGTTCTCCAAGTAAAAAGTAAAGGTTAGTTGTGAGGACTTAAATGTGGATGCAGTAAAAGAGCCTAAAGAAAACTTCAGGGGTATCACAGGTATAGAGTTCTGAGGAGAGATTTTCTTCTTCATTCTTATTTCCCTAGGGCTAATTGCAGAGATTTTGAAATGTATTTTCTTTAACTGCTCAATGGGAGTGAATAAGAGAATAGAACATTTGTATGAAACTATAGAAAAACCAATCAGGATGCCACAATTCAAAATCCAATAAAGGATTGAAAACATAATTACATATTTAATAAATACTAATATTTCATTGATAGTGTATATGAAAAAAGGTATTTAATTAGGATATGAATTAACACATATTAAATTAAAAATTAATTCTATCAGTATTATATTGAGTGAGATTGCAGCTTTGAGCTGATGAGTCTCTTGACTGTCTCCTTCACATCCTTGTTCCTTAGGCTGTAGATGAGGGGGTTCAGCATGGGGATCAGGACAGTATAGAGCACAGTTGCCACTTTAACCAGGAGCCGTGAGCTGTTTGCATTGGGCACACAGTACAGAAGGAGGATGATTCCATGAAAGATGCTAATGGCAGTCAGATGAGAAGTACAGGTGGAGAAAGCTTTTTGGAGTCCACCTTTAGCAGGCATTTTGATGATAGTAATGACTATGAAGACATAGGAGGCCATGGTGATAAGAAGGCTAGTACCTTCACTTAATATAGAAATGACTAAGCATGCCATCTGGCTGAATGAGGAGTCAGAACAGGATACAGAGATGATGGCAGAGTACTCACAGCCAAAGTGATCGATGATGCCAGATCCACAGTACGACAGCTCTGAGAGAGTGTATGTGAGTATCACAGCACACAGACCACCCCACATATAGCTTCCAGCTACTAAGAATGCACAGAGTTTATGAGATATAGCCACAGTGTAGAGCAGGGGGTTGCAAACAGCCACAAACCTGTCATAGGCCATCACTGCCAACATGAACATCTCTGTAATCACACATGCACAGCCAAAGAAAAACTGAGCCATGCAACCTTTTAAAGAGATAGTTCTCTGTTCTACAACCAAGATCTCCAGTAATTTTGGTGTAAATACACTAGAATAACATATATCCAAAAATGAAAGATGGCCCAGAAAAAAGTACATGGGTGTATGAAGCTTAGGATTGATCCTTCTGACCACAATTATGCCGGCGTTGCCTACCAGAGTGACTGTGTATACGGCCATGATCATAAGGAAGAGCGGTGGCTCGAGGTGTGGGTATTCTGAGAAGCCCACAAGAATAAACGTGGTCACAGAACTCTGGTTTATCATTGCATGTGCCATAAGTTACCAGCTACAAAAACAAAGAACAGGAAGAAAAAAGAAGAAATGTGATCAGTAGAACTTGACAGCTTAGATGACACTTGATATAAACAACAAAGAAAAAGATGATGGTCTTGAACTCATTAGTAATTTGCTTCAGTTTATATTCTTTACTTCAACCTCTGTATGGCTCTGCAAGTTAGATCTGTTCTTTAGTCCTGTAATGTTCTCACCTGGAATAAAAATAATTCGTCATATGAATTTCACATAAATTCCTCATGGTTGTTTCTCAGTTTTTGGAATGTTCCATGATAGAAGATAATTGCAAATGGGACATTGAGCTAAATCAGAAAGCCAATGAGGTCAGTGCCTTCATGTGCTCATGCCTGAGAAGACTCCAGGAAAGTTAAATACATGTAGTATACAAGGAAAATGAAATAATAGGAACTGATCATAAAAATGATTCATATAAAATTCACAATACTTTATAATAAAGGTGTTTGTTTTGTTGTGTTTTATTCACCTGTTTGTTTATTTTACTATCAATTCATCCTAGGGCCTTGTGAATGCTAGATAAGCATGTGACTATGTAGTTACACAACCTTCTTTTTGCTTTTTAAAAAATTTTGAGACCTTGTCTTACTTGGGTGTTTAAACTGGCTGGCCTTAATCTTGTTAACTTCTCAATTTACACCAGGATCAAAGCCACACGGATACAGTTTAAAACCAAGTGATTGTTAAGGATTTTTATAGTCTTTACTCCCAACTTCATTAACAATATTGTCTCCCCATCTTTTTCTTGATGCTCCTCTGCTAACACCTACAACCTCTTCAGTTTGTCTTTGACAACAATCATTACACTGATCAACAAAATTAATTCCATATTCAAATGTGTAACATAGGAAGGCCTTTGTTAATATTCATGTTACTATTATTATTAGTAGTAATATTTTAATTTGCTTTCTTAGACTAATTAAATATATATCTCATAGTGACAGAGCCACTATACAATATTATTTTCATTGTTTGATTTTTCTGTATGTACATAGGTATTCGGTCAATTCCATCTCTTCCCTCCTCCAATTCTTCACATAGCCCCTCCATTATTTTGCCCTTACAACTTTGGTGTTTTTTTTTTTAAACACATTATAATATTGCCCTGGGATAAATATAAAAATATGGATCCACAACACTAGGGAAAACCTGCCATATTCAAAAAAAAACGTAAAACGTAAATTAGAGCACCTACTATGAATTTATGACTTGTCATATAACTATTAAATGAGAATGCAAAGCTATTTGAACCCATTCATTTCACTTGTCTGCACTAAGAATTTTTAGATAAATTGGAGATTATCAGTTTATTGTTAAGTTGTAAATCCAGATTCATTCTGATCTTAATTTCTAACCTGCATATTATTATCAATTTGTATACTATTTTGTTGAGTCTCTGACACATACTTGCCTTAATTCATGACTCCCTGAATACATAGAATCCTTTGAAAGTAAAATTCTACTTTCCATAAATTATACTAAACATTTGTGATTATCTTATCTTTCTACTTACTATTGAAAGTTGGACAATGTGTTATTTTTTTAAATTTTCATCTCACTGTAGAAATTTAAGATACACACACACATCGTCATCATCTTCATCATTATCATTATTTCTTTGGTAAAATCTAGGTAGGAGGTGAGCACAGTCCTGGATATTCAGGACCCAAGGAATCAGGAGTCTCAAGCAAGGGAATAATGACTTATAGGTTAGATTGAGTTACAGTGTAATACTTTGTCTCAATAAACTATAGAAAAATCTATGAGCACAGTAATTGAGATATAATGTTAATGAAATAATTTTATGAAAATAAAGTATTCTTTGTAACTAATTAAATTACATAACTTACCTACCTCTGGGATTACTACATGGAATAAATCTTAACCAGTTTATAACATTCAAAATAGAAAAAAATAAAAGGGGAGCTTCAAATAAGTATACCAACTCTTGTAATTTTATGACTAAGATTCACTTTTGAACGCTGATGCCTACTGATTTCTTATCCAGGATTCTGGGCTAAATCACCTGAAGTTCCCTAGGGCTTTCCTTTACCATCAGAGAAAACTAGGATCTTTCCAGTGTTTCAGTTTGTGGCTATGGTGGTATAAATCAGGATTAATGAATGTAACATGATTCTAAAATGGTCTTATAATAAAAAAAAAATACCTGGTACTGAAAGATGAGAGAGACAAAGGAATGAGTCACTGCCATGTCTCACCTCACCAATTTCATGAAACCTCTGACTGAAATTCTTTGAGACCTCACTGGAAAGGCTCCAGCTGAAAAAGCCTCCAGGTGAAAGGGACGCTTCTGCCCAAAAGCCTTTAGTTCCTGTCTCCTCACGCCTTATATACATTTTTCTGCCCAGTCATTGCTTCCTAGGATTAAAGACGTGTGTGCTTCCAAGTACTGGGATTACAGGTGTGTACCACCACTGTCTGGCCACTATGTTTAATCTAGTGGCTTGTTCTGTTCTCTGATGTTCAGGCAAATTTTATTAGGGTACACAATATATCACCACAAATGAAAACTACACAGAAATGTGTGCGAATGCCCCTTAATCTCCATTTATTTCATTTCAATCAGTCATTTACACTGAAGAGTCCTTGCTAAATTATCAAACTATAATCAAACTTTTATTTACATTGGATATAACGCTTTAATTAATTTTTACAATTTGCTATAAAATTTATAAAATTAAATGTTCTAACTGTATTTCTAAAAAAAAAAAATGAAGTACATGATCCAGGCATTTTTTTTATTCTCAAGATTTAATCTTTTTTTAATCATGTAGAATAATCCTTAGTCTTCCTCTTAATTTTTAATATTATCTTTCAATCATGATTTTCCATATGGCTTCCAGGAAAAGAAGTTTTTCTACAGATATCACTTGTTCCCACTACTTTATTTTCCTTGCACCTATAGTGTCTTAATATCTAAAGTGCATTGCATATTTTGCTCTGCTATGTGTATATTCACATGTATGTTGATCTTCATGTAACTGAATTAATCAAATATTATGTTGTCACAACTTACATTTAACATTTAATTTTAAAGTCTTCATATTAATAACACAGCAATAAAAAATGACTCAAACAAAGAACAACATTGGTAGGAACAAGGCATAAAATTTAGCACCCTAATATATGCTATGTACTCCAGTGAATCAATACCACTGTCTCAGCTCACATTTCTATCTACCATCCCTCAGATTTTAAGGATTTTCATTTACCTTCTGAAAGATTCAAAATGTGTCAAGAAACTCACCAAAAGCAAGATTTTCCTGATGTGTTTTTGAGATTATGCCATTTTCTTATTAATAAACATGAACAATATCTTTCAAAAGTAAAACGTTTTAAGTTTCTCAGATAAAGACAGCAATTGATCCTTGTAAAATGAAATTAAATAAGGAGGCAACCATCAGAATAATTTGAAAGAAACATACAAATATCTTGAGGAAGACACAGACAGGATTTTAATCTGTATTCAAGATGACATTATTTATTATGAACCAACTCCTTGACTTTGGGGAAATGCACCCTAGAGAATCCTCATTGTTGATTGTCTTGGACTATAAACACGTAACTAGAAGAAACTTCCTCCTTTGTTTTTAAAACACATACTCTTCCTGGCCATTATTGTGCTCTTTTTCAGGCCTCATAAACAAAGATTATCTCAACAGGATTTATACTTTTGAAAATCATAATTAACAATTGTGTGAATATATGGATGCATCTAGTGCAATTCACCAAGAGTAGTAATACCAGCGAGAGTTTGTGTGCTCAGGACATTATCCTGTCATATGTACATATGGGACAGTATTAACTTAATATAGTGGTTTATAATAAAAGTTTGGAAGTAGTGTGTTTTAAGGTGCAATGGAAGGTAGATTTCATTTTATTTTCATTGTATACATGTATGAAATTCTCAATTATAAAGAAAACTTTATATAAGATATCATAATTATTGATTCCATGTGACAATGAGTCAAATATACTTGTCCAAAAAACAAAGACAATTGCATTCAACAAAAACAATTAAAAATTTGTTTTAAAGAAAGGTGTCAAATGCTATCAATCATATAACAAATGGTTAAAATGGATTTATTCATTACATTTATGCTTTACTACTACAACAAGTATATAAGGAGAAGAGGGACAATAATGTGGGCCCATAAGAACATGTTTTTAAAAAGATATTTTATAATCCAGCAGGCTCTGAGGTTAGTCTATAAGCATATAAAACAATTCTAATTATCATTGTTTTTACTTATTTTAAAGTCAAACTTATATCTTTATTTAAGATATGGATTCTGACAATAGTTGAAAGTATTTTGCTAGAAGATAAGAAGGAAATTATGTGGAGACGAGGAGAATGCAATCTAATATATGCTATATATGCATGAAAATGACATAAAGAAACCTACTACTATGTAAAATATCTGCTAATAAAACATAAATGCAAATAGTTAATTTCAATATTGAAGTTAGAATATATAAGTGGCATTACAAAGGTAAAATACATCCCTAATTATTCCCATATTATGCCTGAATTTTAGGAATCTTGTCTTACATTCCCAAACACTAACGAATATATTTTGCTAAAGCATTACAACAGGCACTTTTACTTTTGATTTTGGAAATTTTCATGTCTATCTACATACTCAAATGTGGGCATTTTCAAACCTCAATCTACTCTCATCACCTGCCCATCTCCATTATTTTAATTTGTTTTTTAATAATTTTGTTAAACACTAACACAAACCAAATTTGTCAAGGAAAGGATTTGCTTGGCTTTCACTCCTCTTTCATCGTCCATCACTAAAGGCAAGGCACAAATAGCAGGAACCAGGAGGCAAGCACTGAAGCAGAGGCCAAGGGAAAAGGCTGCCTACTGGGATTCTCAGCCAGCTTTCTTATACAGACGAATACCACATGCCCAGGCATGGCCTCACCCTCAGTGGGCTGGGCCCTATCATATCAATCAATCATTAATCAAGAGATGATCTTTGGCCAGTCTAATGGAAATATCTCTTCAAGTGAAATT